CCCCAAAACCCCAAAACCCCAAAACCCCAACAGGTAACATCTCCTTTGAATTTTAGAAGAAAATAAAGAAATCAAAAAAATGGCTGCTTTCCCTATAAAACCCTGCATTAAAAACTATCCAAAAGCTGTAAGCCAAGGCTCAACGTCCAAATGTGAGTTTAAAGTGAGTTTAGAGCAATTTAGGAGACATTTAGGAGAATTTGGAGAGCAGGGTAATGGAGGTTGTAGGACTTGGAAATGGGGTTAGGGGCTGGAGAGGGTGGGAAGGAGAGGCTGGTGGTGGGGGAGTGGAAGAGTGGAAGAGTGGGGAAGAGGAGGAGTGGGGAAGGGGTGGAATAATGTTTGAGAGTTTTAGGGGGAAATGAGGGGGTGGTCAAATGGTGGAAATTACTGATGTTTGATCGGGTTAACAGTATGGTGAATAGAAAACCATTTTGCAATTTTGATAAAGTTTTCTTTGGAAGAAATTTTAATTGTTGTTTTATTGTTTTAGAAGGCTTGGTAATTTGGATAAAGGCATCTTGAGGACGGGATATGAAAATCGTAGGTTGTTTGATATTTTCTTTCACTTGTGAGAGACATTAAAAGTTTTTACTATATATAAATTTTATAAATAAACTTTAGAATTGCAAACATATCAGCTGATATTAAGAACCAATGCTTGATGCAAAGAGCCCTCTTTTTATGTCTATCTTCTTTTAATTATGATTTCTTAGTGGTTCATTCGAAGATGTGTTATTTCAGAAATTTAATCACTCATTAATGTTTGAAAATTGCACAAAGTTTCTTATTAAAAGAATACCAAAGTGGTAGGATAACATAAAAATTTCATAAAGTCTTATCACGTTCATTAGCATTTGAGATAGAGCCTAACTCATTATTTCACAGTTAGATCTGAATTATTAGCATCAAAATCTTTCTCGATACAGAGATTCCTTTTTCAAATTTAGCATAAAAATTCTATTCCCATACCTCTTCATCAATTCGTGCTCAAAGCTTGACTTAGGGTTCTCTTTACCTCAATTAAACAAGTTAGAGGGCCTATCCAACAGGAAAGAGTAATTGGAACTCATGCTCTAAACTTTAAATAAATTGGGCTTCCGACGATACTATTGTAGGAGGACTCATCTTAGCCTGCCTTTGTTCATAGCAAAAGCTAATAGGTACCAAGCAAAGTAAGTTGGGCTCAAGCTCTGATTGCATCTTCATTATAATTGGCAAGATTTTGGGGTTTAATGAGGTAACACAAAAAAGTGGTCCAGTTATAGTAAAATTTCCAGCACTTTTTTATATAAAGAAAGAGCATTTGATCATTTGATCATTTGCACTCTCCTTTAGTTTTATTCATAAGAATACTATTGCTTCTTCCTTTGCATTGGCATGAGGCAGCATGATAAAATTATTAGCTAGCCTAATTAGATGTATACCTTCTTAAGTTCTAGGTGAGCATTTTAGTAAGCTCAGACACTCCGAAGAATTTTTTGCCGCTGATTAATAATACCTATGAGTAGGAAAATAACTATTTTTGAATTTTAATATTTCCTAGGAGAACTTTAGAGCAAGTTCATCTGGCTAGTACTAAAATCCTCTTTTTTTTTAGGTCATTTGAATAAAATCTGAGAATAACTTGAATAATAAGACTCTCTAATCACAGCTGTAACTGATTGGAACAAATTTTATTCACAGCAATCAGCTGCTAATATTATAAACAACACTGTTAAAATAACTAATAGTCTTTCTGAACACTTTCAGAAAAAGTCAGCATCGACATATCCCTAATTTCAAATATAATGGAATAATTCGAAAGAAGATGAATAATAGGAATAGCCTCTCTCTCCCTCTATACTCCCTCTCGGCCTTCACAAAAGGCTCTAGGTATAAAACCCTAACTAATTCCTTTATGTTTAGCAATTTCTAACGGTAATACTCTAAAATAATAATCCCTGTTAATTATTAAAGTCATATTCCCAGTATTTTATGCGCTCCAAATCGTGGAACTTTCAGTGCAACAGTGACTGATCCCAAAGCCAGAATTTGCCAATAAATAGCTGACTTAGATATAATAGGAACCCATTTAGTTTACTTAAAAGGAAGGCATTGTGAAAAGTTCTGAAAATCCAAGAGAAAGAGAGTATTTTTGATTGTAATTTAGGGTAAATTATTTGTCCTCATAACATTTTTAGAAAGAAAACTAACTTATTTTTGAAATAAGCAGCTGCTTTAAAGCCTCCACTGTTGGATCATCACTGTTTTCAATCAGGTGCTGTCATAGCACTCTCAAGCTCTTTGACTGGATTGCTTTCATCAATCTTTTCTGGGAAAATGCCCGACAACACTGCTGGAAGGCATCCACTTCTTGTTTGATGGCTCTGCTGCAAGGCAAGTTTGAGGCTTTGCGAAGATCGATGATGCCCATTGTGAAGTAGATAAGGTCATCTGTGGCTTCTTCTTGAGGCATCAACTCAACGAGCAGAGTTTTTACTCTTTGATAGATTTCTTGGTCTGAGCAGTTGATGTATCTCTTCTTGACGACTTCAACGTTGGTGGACTTGAAGACGTTTTTGAAACACCTTCTAAGCATTCTAAGTGGAGCCTTTTGGCGTCAATCTTTTCTGGATGATTGGGAGAATTGCAACTTCTGAGCATCTGGAGCAAAAAGAGTCGAATGAGGTGGAGTCTTTAACATGAGAGGCTTATATTGAGTTGGACCTTGATTTGTTTTGTTGCCTAGATATCACTCTCAATCTTATCCAGGCAAATCTTTCCCAATGTTCAATGAGCAAGAAATATAAAACTAGCATAAAGAAATGGAACACGCTTATCTTCTATTGTATTTTCATCAAGAGTTTTGATCGAAGTGCTTTTGCTGCAATCTTGCTTGTTAAGAAAGATTATCAAAGATTGCTGCTTCTCCTAATTTGTGATAGGATAAAAAGTTTAAAGCTATTATTTTTGTCGGCAAATTGACGATAAACAGGGTTTACTGAAATCATTGCTTTCATCCCTAGCCACGATTAACTTTTCAAAAGCAAATTATTTCTCTAATCTTAGTTTGAACCTAACATATCTTTGCAAAACACATAAAACTCTAAGTAACTTACCCATATTATTGTTTCTTAGAATCATCTTTTTCTGCTTTCTGGTCTTCGAGTAAGAGGAGCTTTGATGAAAGTTTGTTCCAGACTTTGAAAGAGAATCAAGAATTGGGGCTCTTGGTGAGACCTCTTCTTTTATTTCATTTTTCTCCAGACCAAAATCTTCAGTACTTCGCTTCAAAATGTTTGAATTAAAAGGGTCAGAATCTGAACTCTAAAGATTCCAGTAATTATATTTGGAAAATAATGAGAAGCATGACCAAACCTTAACTAACCATAACAGATGGGAAATTTTGAGTGTCTGATTTCAGCTAAGACTTACTTGTGAGTAAAAAATGTCTAAACAATTTGCAAAGACGTTTCCTGGATACAAATAGTTGGGATCGTTGATGTCACAGATATATTCGCTCGTAGTACTTTTATTCATAATGTATTATTCTTGATTATACACTATTGATATTTTTAATTTTATATGATCAACTTTAGCTTCCCTTTATGGGGTTTTGGGGTTTTGGGGTTTTGGGGTTTTGGGG